TCAATTATCATTATATTATAAGAGGTTATAGTTAAATTATTTTCATTTATATTCGTTTTATTAGTATTAAGATGAGAGTTATTTATTTATTCTTTATTTCATTTTGTATTAGTAGTAAATGTAGGAAATAATCGCTTTTTGTTAGAGTTCTTGTAAAAAATGGAGTTTTTCGTAAATAACAAAAAATACAATAAAGAAAATACTTTGGATCCATTGTTCTATTTCATGTTGCAATAGGAACTCCTGACTGCTGAGGAAATCTTGTCAATGATGATTGCGGATTCTACTCAAATCGTCTTAAATCATCAACAACTTCCTCAGATACTGCAGGTCTTCTAGGAGATTTCCTTTTTTTGACACTGCCAGTTCGAACAATTCTGTTGAATACATCTCTAATGTGAGCCTCTAACGATATTTCTTGAATGGTATTGGCTTACAAGCAGTAACAGAATACACCAACTCTCCGTTTACGAATGTCCTATTGCGATAATAAGACATGACAAGGAAAGTGTCTTATTCAACAGAATAAACCATTTTCACAGTCTTCCCTTCCTAGCACAAAAACAAAATTTACGAAAGCAACGACCAAGAACTTTGGAAACGACTGTTTTGCTGTTTTGGACTTGGATCAAAGAGAGTTACTGTAATTCACACTTGAGAAACGTTTAAACAATAAAAACGATTACTTTAAATGACAGGTTACAAATGACATTAATGACAAGTGAGAACTGTCAAAATGAGGCGAAGCGGAATTTTTAAAATCCATGGCCAACTACGCCGTTAGAATCATTTATAAAAACTCTGTACAATATAGCTATCGAGGGGTAAACCGCAGAGGAAATCAAGTGTACACGCTAGAGGAAATCAAAGGAAATCAGAGGAAATCAAAAAGGGAATCAGATGAAATCAAAGGACATTACAGGAAATCACAGGAAATCACAGGAAATCACAGGAAATCAAAGGAAATCAATGAGAAATTAACGAGAAATCAACAAGAAAACAAAGGAAATCCAAAATCATCATAGCAAATCCAGTTAAACTAGATATTTTCTAGAACTAATAAACGTAACATGTACGACATAAGTCATAGCATTCATCATAAGAAAGAAAATATCAATTTAATCTTAAAAGTGGAGATTAACTAACCTTTTAAGGGCATAATGATAGAAAATTCCAGTATAATATCATTAACTGAGAGCATGATATTTCAGCTTGACAAATATTATAGTTGTAGTTAATGAAGTGCAGTTCCGATGAGAACTGATATATTGATACTGATATATATTATATTATACCTACAAACCAAATTTATAATTTCACCCCAAATTAATTTTTAAAAATTGAGTTTGTGATATGAGGTACCAAATTCATTAAGTTCAGGTCGTGCAAAAATCTTACTGATGATATGTTCTTGCCTTGGAAGTTCAGCTCTCAAACTTGTGAGAGTATGTTTAGAAGCCTTAGATCAATGACCTCAACTTTTAGCACAATTTTTAATTTTAGTATAAGAGATATGTTGCATCGAAGTGACAGACTGCAAACTATAAACAACATTAAAAACGATTTAGATAAAAAATTCGTTTTTCCTAGAGAAATCAGGAAAAAAAGTTCAATCATGAAGAGAGATTTTGTGAAAAATGATGACTTAGGAAACAATTCAGATAAAGATATACAAAGCACCGTAGAATCAGCTTTACGGGATTGTCTGCGTGACACTGAAGATTTAGGAATGAAAGTGATAGATTTCAACTATATATTTTTGCCTCCGTGTAAAGACAATGAATGCAATGACGAAGTTGAAGATGAAATGTTTAGTGAAGAACAGTGCGATCACATTGAAAATTACAACAATTCTCAAATAGCCATGAAACGTAACTGTTTTCAAAGTTTGGAAAACGATCCAGTTGACCAAGATGAGGATTTACTGAATGATCTTTGCACAATTTCGTACGAATCTAAGAAATTTGACAGAGACATACACCTTAGAAGTTTTGATAGTGACGAGATTTTTGTTGAGAAAGGTGATCTAGTTAGAATACGCTTAGATAATACAACAAAAGTTATAAAAAAGTCTTCACTTTGCTGGCTGTTTTAGACAATGAAAAGGATCGCGTCAGTGTGGATCGTCTCAAAAGATTTATTCAAAATAAGAAATGTAATAGTAGTAGAGTTAACTCAGAAACAGATACCTGCCTTCAACATAAAGATGCATCTCAAATTCAAAAACCAGTCCAAATTGGAAAACAAAAAAGACGCTATAATATATCAAGTGACTTATCTGATTTAGACAACCCAAGTAGTATCGAATATGATGACAGCACGGACACCGAAAGTTTGAATTCTTCCAATTATTCTGATGATTTGAATCCTCGTTTGAATCTCAAGGCTGAAAATAGTAAGACTGATCGTTCTAAACCAGACTTAAATATAGACGATTATATTATAGTACAATTAACAACTCAAAAACAAAACAAAAAATGTTACATTGGTAAAGTGTTATCACTTAACCCTATTTTTTGTGATTTTTTGAAAAGGAATCCAAAAATTCCGGATGCTTTTATGTTTCCGGTCATTAAAGATCAGGGGGAGATCCGAGAAAATGAATATATAATGAAACCACCTCCACCTCAGGTACTCAGAAGAGGCAGTTTAGTTTTTGAAAAAAAATTATTGAAAAAATATTTGATTTAATTCTAGTTTTTTTTTAAGTGATGTGATTAAAATTTGTGATAATGTAACCTCAACCTGGGTCGAGATTTGTACAAGTATATATCGTAGAGAATACTAAAGTAAGAAACTGTGCAAAATTCTAGGTGCCCATGAACACTTTTAAAGGGGAAAATTACCTCTGAAAATTTATCAAGTGGGGTTATCCACTCCTTTACTGTGCAAAAAAAAATTCTTACGTGTTAAATTTTGCATTTCAAAAGTTTTTTTTCTAATATGCTTGATTTGAAAGTTGTGAACAAAAAATTAAAAGTGTTATCATCTGTATTTATGGGTAGCTAGAATTTAGCGCAGTTTTTTACTTCAACATCATCTACAATATATACACAAATCTCGACCCAGGTTATGGGGTAAGTATTTTTTAAGAAGTTGTTTTATTTTGTAATATTTTGTTATGATACAACAGAAATGCTTCACTTTTATGTTTAGCGTTACCGTTTTTTTAACATTTAATAAAATAAATGAAACTACTTGTTTTTTCTGTTTATGCTATCATAATAAATGAATAAACCCAATTTTTAAAAAGTAACGACTTAAGTTATTATTATAAGTTTGATTTAGTAGGTCAAACTTTAACATGATCTTGTATGCACAACACAGAGATGAACCTAATAGAATGATTTTGGACTATTTGGTATTCATTAATTACCTCTGTGAACGTATGAGCCAGTCGTTGTTGCCTTATGAGTATGAGTCACTGATAAGTAAAAACTGCTGACGTAACTAAAAATATCCTTGGCCTTATGTACTTTTAATTTCGTAAAGTCAAAAGCAAAATTTCATAATATAATTTATTAAAAAATTAATAATAATATATAATATAATTTATTAAATCTTTGAGTGATTTAAACGAACTAATACGTACACACCAGACATTTTTAATTTCAAAATTAAAATAGACCATAAGGTTTTCTGACTGAATGTGCAAAAAATCTAGAATATTGCATATGTCTACTTTTAGAACAAACATTTGACCCAAGAAAGTGTAAAATTCGAACGTATACTTACTCTGTTGATTTAGACATCTAAAACCTCGATTTCAGACTAGGGTCCTTGTGTAAGTAAAATCAGATTTTTTTTCTTAAATATTTCAGTTTGTTGCTTAGCAGCACAATACATTTTATTTATTTATTTTTTTCGTCTAAAGGGAAAGCACTTCAGCTTACCTAGTCACCGTACGTCAGTGAACACTTGGTAAAAAAAGGTTTAAATTCAACATCATTATCGGCAAAACAAAAAAGTCAAGTTAAAAAAAAGTTAACAATCGCCCTGTAGTACATTATGTAAACAAATTTTGAGGAAATCAAAAGGAAATCATAGGAAATCGCAGGAAATCATAGGAAATCAAGAGGAAATCAAAGGAAATCAAAGGAAATCAGAGGAAATCAAAGTAAACCACAGGAAATCACAGGAAATCAAAGGAAATCAGAGGAAATCAAAAGAAATCGGGGGAAATCAACAGGAAATCATTGTCAAAAGGAAATCAATTGTACACTTGATGGTAGGCGGTTTACCCCTCGATAGCTATGATGAATGTTACTTAAGAACCAAGATACTTTACAATCAGTAGGGCACAACGAATTTTAATCAAATTTTCAATTAATGTTATCTGGAAAACGAAAAGACTTATTAAAACTTTTTCTTGATACTGCCATCTACTCTCTGAAACTAGTTTCCGATTTTTCCTTGTACGTATAGTTCAAAAACACATAATATTTAGGTTGTTATAAATTGTTTGGTGAAATAATGAAGCGGCAAATTCTTGTTAAAATCCGAAACCAACTTGATGTTCGATATTTTATAATCACCTTACTTACTTAAGCTTACTTAAGGCATTATTAAACAACTCCCTTGTCCTCAAGTATTCTGCTTACATAGATTAATTAATTTTTCTATTAGGTACTTCATGGACTGAATGTATACAATTTTTGGTATTTGGAAAAATTTTGTATTTCATTAAAAAAAATACTCCTATTATCAAAAGTACACTAGAATGGTGTGCCATTCATTAAAATTCTTTTAAAGTTAAGGAGGAATAAACATTCAGCCCAACCACTACATGTCACACTGATTAGCGCTACTTTCAGAATTGCTCTTCATATCTTAAAATGTACAATAAAATTGCACGAATTGATACAAATTTAGTGCTAAATAAAGATGATTTGATTTCAAGTAAAGGAGATTTAACGCTTTAATAGCCGCTATCCGTCTAGTCGATTTAATTGTTTTCGTGAAGGCCGCAATCAAAGCCGTCCAAATGAAACCAAACTCACCGGAAATTCCATCGTAGGTCCACCATTCCTGCCAGTTGTCACATCCCACTGAAACAGACGAAAAATATAAATTAGTGCGAGAATGTGGCGCCACTTGTGAAAGAGGGGTTTCCCGATATTACAATATCGAGTTGTTTTGTCGATGTCGCGTCTTCACATAGGAAAGGAAGAACAGTACAGATTCAATTTATAGAAGCTGTATTAAGAAATGTTCGGAAAAGAGATGGGGACGGCCAAGATCGCTGACGCTAGTTCACATTTCCCCTTGTCGAAGAAGCGCAATCCAATTCAGCGAGAAGCCATAACCCAAACTCCCGCCGGCACAACGAATAACCAGGGACGTTTGAGCAGTTTTGCCCGCTGTAATTTTGGAACGTACAAGAGGAATCGTGCCATTATTCATATCAAACACTCTAATGCACGAAATTACTATCGCTGTTTCGTATGTTTGTGCGATAAGGCTAACTATTATCCTCTCTAAAACATGGTCAATTCTCGCTGCTCAGATTTCCTTTTTCCCTCAAAACATCAAAAAATATGCTGTGCTTTACGATAGTGGAACACAGTCGCTATCGATCGCGCCAGCTTATTATCGAAATGACTCCAAAATAGGGGAAATAGACTCGTAGTTCGCAAATATTTTTGTGTAGTTGAGGGTCAACTAAATTGTTTCGCAAATTGCGTTTGAAACGTGCGAGAAACCTCTCTATTCAGCCTTTTTATTCATCACATAACGCTTTTAGAACGCCTTCAAACCACCCACGAATGTTTTCAAAAAAGAAACTCTATTTTTACGATACAATAATGAGTTTACCAAACTCGAGCACAATAAAAAGTGGAACCAATCAAGTATTTATCGCCTAATTTGATACGAAAATATCGATGGAAAGTCACTTTTATGGGAATGTAAAATGAAAGATAAAGAGAGGGTATAAATTTTACAGGGAAACGATATTGCTCATTACTGAAAAACAATCAGATATAAATGCGGCAGCAGATTCTTGATTTTGTTGAATTACACCTCGTTTTGTTAATTTGACACCAAGATATGTAGAAGTAATTTGTATACTTTTTATTTGGCTTTTACGGTCCGATCAATAGCTGGGGGAAATATTGTAATACGATCAACTTAACAGATTTTCGGACGTATTAAAATACAAATATGCAAATTTTTCATTTACGTGTGTTCGTCGTATTGATACTTCGTTCGCCGTATCGATATATGTGTATTGGGATACCTCCGAAACTACTGTACCGTATACTTTGAAATCTTTTGCTTACTTTAAGATAATTATAAGAAAAATATAACACTAACCGTAATTTATCTATCCACTCTTTACAAAGAATTAATAGCGTCATCTCTTTTTACACTTTTACTAACAATATTTAGGATAGCTTTTTTTTACTAGATTATATTAATTTGGTTTCTTTTTAATTTATTTTTCTCAAGCATCAATAAACAGATTATATATTCTCAAACACAACAGGAATTCAAGTATAGGAGTTTGTTATTTTATAAAATTCAAATATCATGCAAAATTTTGAGTTGGCGTCACTATATTTTTGGTGGAGATGATGAGACAAATTTTGGTTACCGTTGTGCCATCTACACCATATCCTTTTTTTTTGACAACAACCGGTGGTTTCAGAGATTTTATGTCTAATATAAAAATGGACAGAGACGACAGACAGACGGAAACGCGAAAGCAACTTTTTCATATCTAGGGGTCATGAAACATCGAGAAAAATGTTGAAAAGTTTCTTTAAAACTCAAAACAAATAATTCTTTAAACAATCAACAACATTCAGTTTAACAGTAACCTAACTTAATTTTATTCATATATTTTAATCCATATTTTTACTTCCGGAGTGTAAGCTGAGAAAGCATTTTAATAAGGTCAATCCGACGAGTGGCTACTTGCGTGTGCTCTTGACTTTTCATGACCTCTAGACTACAAAAATAGGTCTCCCGCTTCCGTCTGCTTGTCGTCTGTCTGTCTGTGTCCAGATAATCTCCGAAACTAATAGACCGATTGTTGTCAAATTTTTAAGCAAAATGTGTCTAACTATCCCTTGTACTTGTGGTTTATAAATCCACCTTGAGGTTTTCCCCGAGAAGTCTAAAAGACAGACAACAGACAACAAACAGATAAATAGAGAGATGGAAATAGGAGACCTATTTTTGCATATTTTAAGGGTCATGAATATACTTCCTTAGTTTGCACTCGAAAAGTAAAAAAATCACTTTTATTACGTCTCAGTACCAATGATCGAACATCGAGCTTCACTTTACATAGGTTTGGATCAAAAAATTCTCAATTCTCTTTATTATACTGGGTGAGTCACTAGGAGCACCGTCCTCGCTATCTCATTAACTATTAAATATACAAAAAAGTTAAAGACCGAAGTTGTACGGTTCTTTGAGAACTATACTCTAACATTGTTTTTAGCTATACAGAGCGTTCTGTTTATAAGAGGTAACACACAACTTATTTTTTTAAATAAAACACCCTACATATTTTAACATATTCTTATTAGCTTCTTCTTAGGTTTTACAATTACATATTTAATTAACTTCTTTGACATTTTTTAGCAATGGAAGGGTTTACAAAAGAAATTTTAATAGAACTGTTTTTAAAATTTGTGTTCCAATATTTTGTGAAAGTTTAAATAAAGGTATATGCCTTGTTGTAGTATGTATTAAATCAAATTTTAATTTACAGAGTAAAACTTTATAATTTTTAAATATAGATTTTTCAGTTTTTTCAAATAGAACACCCTGTATTTTGTTAGTGTATCTTATTCTATTTTTGTTCTCATTCTTTTAATATGTCGATGCGTCTCCTAAAAGAGTACAAAGTTGCAGAAACTATCAACTTTAAATATAGTATAAGTAATAATAAAATATAGGGTGTTCAATTTGAAAAAATGGAATATCGATATTTGAGAATTGAAATTATTAAATTTTTTATATAAGCACTCTTATATAAAAATTTAACTCCATTTATACCATAATACCTTTGTTTATCTTTTACCATAATATTTTAACACGTGTTTTAAAATTAATGTGATTTTTTTTGTGAACCTTAATTTCCATTGCTAAAAAATTTCAAGGAAATTTAGAATAACGTGGCAACGTTGCAAAAAGATATATAAATATATAGGGTGTTTCATAAAAAAAAAGTTGTGTGTTAAGCCTTCAAAACAGAACACTACATAAGTAGTTAAAAATAATTTTAGTGTAAAGTCCTCACAGATCGTACAATTTTGGTCCATTTTTTTTTATATTTATAATAATTAATGAGATATTGAGTAATGTGCCTTTAGTGACTCACCTTGTATAGCGTGCTAGTAAAAAAAATACTGAATTACCGCAACTTTTACGTATGACGTTATGAAAATTTTCCTATATGGTTTTGGTAACCGTCCACTTTTGTTGCGCGTCAGAGTGAACATAAAATATTCTGGGGTCAATGACTCATCAATCTGACATTTAAAAAAAATCCCTTGCCAACTGTAAACGTGCAACTTATCGAATAGTAAGTAATAATTTAAAATATTATCTATACTTGAAAACTAATTCGCATAGCAACGCAAAACTCACTAAATATCTTTTTTTGCCTACAGTAAAATTCATCATTTTTTAAAAGGGAATCAAACTAATAATTAAGATCTTTCCAACCACTTGACGCCAGGGTAGGTAAAAGTCACTCAATATTTAACCCAAGTGAAAATCGATATTGTCAACGATTAATAAATTAGAATCCTTCTTTTAAGGATATGCCCTTCATGTATAAATATATTTTATCTCACACTGTCTATACAGAGTTAATAATAAAATATTAATAAACATCGAAAACTGGGAAACAATCGGTTCGACAGTTTTGGAGATAATCTGTCTAATAAAAATAGACCGAACACAACAGTCAGACGCAAATGGAAGACCTATACTTTCGACGAGAGAACTTGAAAATAGTGGATAGTCAGATGGACAACACCTTACACTCACTAAGCAAAAACTGTCTTAATTTAATTTTTAACCTTTCCGATCGTAAGACCTCAGAAGTGCCAATGCGTGTTTTAGAGGAGATATTTTTAACAAACAAAGACTAGTGCGAAGATGCAGTTTTGTTGTGTTTACAGTCAGTCGATAAAACTCGTTCAACAACTGTTCACTTATTCGTAAAGCCCTGATTTCCGCACCGTCGTGGTGAAAATTCACAGGCGTTGTAGATTTTTCATTTTCTCATAAAATGCTTGGAAAATAGCTTTTATCAAGAGATTATGTTTGATCATATGAAAAATTATAGCATTAAAACCCGTCAGCAAGCACTTATTATGCAGTCCTCTTGACGCTCGTTTTGTTTTATCAACAAAGCATTGCAGGTGGTGAGATCAAGGGCCATTTTTGTGGATTAAGGAGATAAATTTGGAGTCGGTTGAGAATGCCTCTTCTAATTTTTCCAACAGATCTTATCAGTCTATAATTGAATTGGATTTAAGATGGAAGAAGCCTGATCGATCGCCTTTTCTTTACGTCATCCTCGAGTCATTGTGACTCCTTTGATATGGCTCTCGATTCTATTTGCTTCCATTTCTCCCAATCTGTACAACAACAAGCCCGCCTGGTGCACACTCTAGCAAATATTCTCCAAATATTTTAAAGCGTCCGATTCTGACATCACGGCGCCAGACTCACCCCCGGTTCGACGCCGCGACGCTCGCAAAAACTATCACAACAAATGGTTTTAGTTGCGACAGTGGCGCCAGCGTTCCGGGTTCGGATGCTCACAGTAAAAACCCTTCAGATAAGTCTGGAAACAAGAAATTTTATGATTCGATGTGGGTCAATCGACGTGCTCCATCAAATCATGGACGTTGAAAGCTGTGAAATAAATGTTTTAACAGGAATGTCAACCAGACATGCACGGTTCCTGAATATTTGATTTCAATTTGAAATTCAAATACGTACGGCTAGTGACAAAATGTATATACTATATACAATGTGATGCGCAATGGGAAATTGAAAAGTTATACAGTTAAATAAA